AAAGGCAGAAAGTTTACTGTCACATCAACTTTAAAACTTTGACATGCTTAATTTCCTCCCCAATCCCGTTGTGGCTGACAAATGAACGAAGCTTAAAAGCTTGTGGTTAGCAGTCACAATGGAAAGGGTTTTTAAAATTATTTTTATTTATTTATTTATTTTTTAAATCCATGTCAACCGCTTGACCCAGTTCCCCCTCTCCTACTTTAATTCAAACAACAGCAGGGAAGAAAACTTAAGGCTCTGCCAGGTGTTTTATTCCGCACATGGAATTCCAAGAATTGACACGCTCAGCTCGGATCTTGCCACATGCGCCCGACTGTAAACAGAGTTCATTCGAGGTTCCCACTTCAGCAGGAAACTCTCCCCGTCCCGCGCTCCTCTCTCAAGAGATCCAGTGCGATCCAACAAGCGATTTCTTCCCCCACCCCACCCCGTTCTCTCTCGTTCGCCCCCCGATCCCACCCCGCGCCCCACGGGACAGCAAGCCAAAAGTAGCCAGCCCCACGTGGCGGCGCGAAGAACCCCCTCCGAGCCCTTCGGTCCGCGTGGCGCAGAGAAGTCTGGCTGGCGGAAAGGGGGGGAAAGTGCTTCGCCGGCGAAGTTGAGCGAGAGCGAGAGAGCACCCCAGCCGGGAAGACCCAGACCAGGAGGTGGCGGCTCTCTCCGGGGCTGGGCCCCCGCAGCACTTACCTCCCTGCCCGGGATTCTGCGGGGGCCCCGGGGCCAGAAGGAGCGCCCACGAGCAGCAGCAGCAGTAGGCGGCGGCGGCGGCGAGGAGCGCGGCGATCCCGCCCGGAGGACCCATCGCAGGCGTCGCGCAGCCTGGGGAGGCTGCCGAAAGTGCCCTGCAGGGGGCTCCGGCCACATTGGAGGGCAGCCGGCGCCGCCCTCTTGCCCGCGGCGGGGAACCCTCAGCCCCGGCGGCGCTCGCCCTGGCGCATCCGCCCTCCTGCTGCTCCTCTCCAGCGCTCGCTGAGCGGCCGCTCTCCCCGCCGAAGGCAGCAGAGACACCAGCAGGCGGCTGGCTGGGAAGCGCGCGGCGTGCGGGAGGGAAGTCCGCCTGATTGACAGAGGCGCTGCTGCTGCCGCCGCCGCCGCCTTCGCTTCTGCTGCACAGCCCAGCCTCGCCTGGCCTGGCTCCGGGGAGGCGGTGGTGGCGACGTCGGCGTCGGGCGCAGCAGCTCTGCCCTTTGCTTGGAGCCTCGTGGCTCCCGGCGCCCGCTGGGACCAAAGTCTGCAGCCACTTCCCGCTACGGGACACTTTTCTCCGCCACGGCTTAGAGGCGGTTCCTGCGGGATCCTGACCATTCCCCACCGCCGCCCAAGCCAACAAAACCCTGGCTCTGCTGCTCGGAGGAGAGAACGCACAGGAGGGATTGCACCAAAAGAAAGGGAGAGAGAAACACACCTCGGAATCTATGAAGTTGTTCGGGAGCGGCGGCTGCTGAAAGGAAGCTCCTGATCTAGCAATCTCCCCCCCCCTTTTCCTGGGATCTATAGTCTGTTTGGAACGGGTGCGCCTGATTTTCCCCAAACTCAGAGTTGTGTTTGCTCTCATGATCACCCCCACAGAATAAAACTTTGGCAATCTTGTGGTGTTGGGGCTTCTTCCTCCCCACCCACTGCCCAAGAACCCCTCTTATGTTCTGTGGATCGTGGTGATTACCTCAAGTTATTAGATTCCCCTGGACTTTGCATCTGACTGCACGTTGCACCAAACATTCTGGGACCCCTAAGATCTTGGTTTTGGGGATCCCAGCCTACAGCAGGGAAAACCCTACCACCTCCTGAAGGTTTATCAGCCCACCCCCTATATTTCAAAACTTAATAGTGTTTCCTTGTTCTGCATGGAGAATCCGCCTGCCCTATCCTAGTTTCACACACAACCAAACTTTCAACAGTGATCTTTCCTACACTTTAGTTAGAGGAGTAAGTCCTGCAGAATTCAGTGGGGCAGTTCTCGGTAAACACATCATAGGATTGGAAGAATAAAGAGCTGGAGGCAAACGGGGAGAGAGGGAGCGGGCACAGATCTTATAAGGTGGGTTCAACTTAATTCACTCTTCCTCATTTCACAGTCTTCTACCGATCAAATTTGCATTTAAAAACAAATGGAATCACACCCAGATCATTGCTGTGGCACTGAATTAATTACTTTAGTCTGCAGCAGGGATCCTGCAGAATCTCAATACTGTTCATTTGTAGCCTAAGATTTTTCTTCACGTTGAAATGCCTGCATTAACTATAGTGGTACATGCTTAATTCTCTTCCCCATTGCTATACATTCTTTGAGTGTGATCCAACCAAAGTAAAATACTTTTGAGCCCCACTGGTTTTAAATAACATGCTTAAATTATTGTCACTGAAGCCCAGGGGACTTCAAACAGCCTAGCATCCTAAGCACATTAACTTGGAAGGAAGTCTCTGAGTTTTATGGGACTTCTTCCTGGAATAATTTCATTTAGGTTACTTAACTTATGTGGGTTCATAGCCCTTCATTTAGCAACAACCAGTTGCCTTTGGTTTAGTATAAGGTTACCGGATTTTTTTCAATGAATCCGGGGACACTTTTCAACTTCAATGGATTTTGTATAGGGACTGATTTGTAAATCTGGGGACTGTCCCCGGGAAACGGGGACGTCTGGTAACCTTAGTAGTGATTCTTTCTAAACTTGGGTTTTATAAGACACCTGGAATGGGTTTTCCCCAGAAGAGGCAGTAGTTTCTTCTCTTGCCCTCTTCTCTGCCTGCTCCAGTTTTAGTCCCCTCCCCCACACTTTTGGTTTAGACTCCAAGCAAAATTGTGTCCATGCATCATTGTTCTGAGCTCTCTCTTAACACACATCTACATAAAGTTTGGCAGAATATTGTCAGAGAAACAGGATTTTTATTCCTTAAAAATACCTTGAAAACTCAACCATTTGATAGAAATTGCCCAAGTCCAACTTAATAATACTTAAGATATTAACAGTGCTTTAATGTATTCACAGGGCTGCATGTGCATTATCTAGTTATAATGTTAGGAATCTGATATGAGAAATTGTAGTAGAAGTTGCTCCCAGTACCAGTCACCACATGGAAGCAGCTTAAGGTCCAAATAGTTGACTGTTGCAGAAGCTAAGGCTCAGTAAAGCATTTCCAAACGTAGATATATACAGCTCTTAGGCTTTTGTAGATACAGATACATACAAGTAGAAAGTATCTCTGTTGTTCCAAATAAACTCCAGCAATTCAAGATGTAACACTGGACAAATTACACCAAGAGACTAACTAAATCACAGACTAACCAACTGAGCTGGCATACATTAATCATAGATATAGTCAGTGGATTGGGTCATTACCAACTGACCTTACACCTGCGATTACCTCATCCATTGGGTGATTTATGCACATGTAGGAAATTAACCCTTATGTTTAGTTACTCCAACATAGCCAGCCATTTGCCTACATCAGCAGCCCCAGCTGGAGCTTCCAAACCAAGTCCAAGGGCAGTCCCACATACAGCACATTGCAGTAATCCAGGATGGGATCAAAGGTTGAACCTTCCCTCCCCGTACATTGTGGTCCTGATTCACAAGAGACCACCAGCACCACCCCAAGTTTACTATTATAAGAGTAGCCAAGAAGTTAGTTTGACTTTCAGAGGTTGGATAAAGTCTCAGAAACCTGTGCTTTTTGGCACCACAAAATCAGCTCTAAGGCTGCTAATTCAAAGTGTTCAGAAATGATGTATCAAATCACCCAAAAGCACTGTACTTTGGTTTTGTTTTTTTTACAATGGGTGCTTTGTATTCATGTTTCTTTCTAAGCCTTCTGAGTACCCTGCAAAGCCACAAAGGCTAGATGCTTTAAAAATAATAATTATAAGATTCTGTCAATCATACTCCCAGCCTCTTAGAAACCCCTGAAATTCTGAATCTCACCAATTAAACGACAGATGCTGCCAGCTCTGCTCTGGTGCTCTGTCCATGCAAGATAACTATGTTACTCTCAATTTAGCTGGTAAATTTCTGCTTCTGCCCTTCTGGCCTGTCACTTACAATCCCTCAATCACTTTTCCTATAGTCAATACCCCTAATTTGTGAAGAGTTTCTCTTGTAGTGGTCTGTCTCCTATCTGAAATGGATACATTCCCGAGTTACAGGATGAGCTACATCCTTGTAACTTTTCATCTTCTGTAGCATTTGGTTCACTTGCCTGGACCCAGTTTAATGGCCCATAGCAAATGCTTGATCTTAATTGTCCCTCTATGTTTCATCTCCCATCATCGTTCATAAAATATCGTTGTTACCTTATCTTTCATCAGCCATCTGTATTTAATGATGGGTATAATTGTTTTTTGATGACTGGTACAACTCCCTACACCACTCAGTTCCTCATGTGCTGCTGATTTACTGCCTTGGTATTAATATTCCAGCCCTGTGATGTATCTCAGGATGTTTTAGAAATATCTGCTTCCCTTGTATAAATATTTGGATTAATTTAGCTAATTATCAGTGGAGCATTTGATTATCCTCCTAGGAAATGTTGCTATTTGCTGCTGCTGCCTTCTTGATTATATCTTTATTTAGTCAATGAGAGACAGATAACAAGACAAAGGGGGTTTTTTTTGGGGGGGGGATTTACAAAAAATATTCAGTGAAGATTTTACATAGAAAGAATTCCTTGGTCCATCTCAGGAACAGTGCCTTATATTAAGTCAAACCATTGGTCCATCTAGTTCAGTACAGTCTACACTGACTGACAACAGCTCGCCAGGGTTTCAGACAAGGTGATGCCAGGCTTGGTCCTGCTAGCAACCCTAATTTTGGATGAGAAAAGGGAACGGCAGTAGAGCTAGAATTCTAAGACTTCTGTTTTACATAGCAAGACCCCAATTCACAAAACAACAGACGAAGGTGCACTGCCAGCTGGAGGGCACAGGCACCACTGTAGTCACTTCTTAGGCAACCAGGTCCAATGGCACACTACTGAAAGGATGCTAGCCACTGGGGACGGGAACTAGCTTAGTGGTAGAGCATCTGCTTTGCATGCGGAAGGTCCCAGGTTCAATCCCCAGCATCTCCATGTAGGTCTGGGAATGTTCCTTGCCTGGAAACCTGGTGGGTCCATCACCAGTCAGTGTAGACACTGCTGAGCTGGATGGACCAATGGTCTGACATGGAACAAGGCATCTTCCTATGTCCCTATGATGACTTGCTGAAGGGCCAGCCAACCACTCACTGCAAGCTGCTTTGTGTGTGGGAACCAATGCTGCCAATGCTAGTCTTTCTCAATCCTGGTATTTTGATCATAGCACAGCAGCTACGAGGTACACCAGACTCAGCAGCATCAAGCTGTGGTTCCAGCCTCCCAGCCCAGCTCTGCAGACTCAACTTCCAGTTGCACAGTGGTTACACTGCCTGACTCCTATTGCTCCTAGGACTCTCGCAGGACCATAAACAGTTCCTGCTTCTCCAGCTACAGTGGCTGCCTTCTTCCAGTCAGTGGGGCCCACACATTGCTGTGGCCTATGGAGGAAGGGCCAGAATCTCTTTGGTGGGTTGTTTTTTTTAAAGTCTTGGCTATTCTCCCATACTTTAATGCTTGAATCTTGTGTCTTGTCCTTCCCCCACCCCACTTGCTTTCATGCTTGTGTGTGTGTTATACAGAATAATTGTGCTGACGAGCTATAGTTCATCTCTAGGAAAATGTCTGATAAAGCAAAAAGAAAGAAAGTAAAGCGGGGGATCTTCGCATTGAATAGGTTTGCCTTGGGTTCCATGGCAGGAGAAAGGCAATAATACTGTATAAATAAAATAACTGACCTCACTAACCCAACCATTTCTTAAATAATAAGCACTCTCCTAAAAGTGACATCTGCATTAGCTTTCCTCTTATTTCTTTTAAAGTTTTAGGCCATTTCCTCATTGCTTGCATTTTCTGCCTGGAGACGCAGGTACAATTGTGTGGTTTTGGTTTGACTTTGTTGGGAAGACAGGATCTGGGGAGGGGGAGCTTGACAAGAAAGGAGCTTGACAAAATGTGGCTTTTGGCACCTTCAGAAAGCAGCCATTTACCGGTATATGACAGCAGCAGGGGCCGACTCCAAAATAAGTCCTTAAAAATTAGGCTATGGTGCCCCAGAGCACATAACAAAGGCTGAGTGGGTTTTTTGTTTTGTCATGAAGGGAGACATTATTTCTGTGGTCCTTTGGGCTGCTTCATAATGCAATGCTTCTAGTAGCACCAGAACAATGGCCACCACATTCACACATGGCCATTCTCACACCTAGCTGTCCAGCACAGCTGTTGAATCAAAGTGCTACAAAACAGCCTCTTCTGTCTAGTCAGACCTGGAATTTGTCCTTACTGTGCTGCTGGCTTTCTGCCTTTCTGTTGTCTTGTAGGCTATCAATGAGGTCAGAATGTTATATTTTTGGGAGAGTGGCCACTTCCTGACCCCAAAATGGCTCCAGAATTGTTAGTAGGAGCATGGCAGGAGAGTAGGGTCATCATGTTATTAGTTTAAATAAGTTATTATTTAATAGGCATTTGAATTCTTGCTTTCTTTAAATGAGGATCATCATTTTATTTGCTTCCTCTATTTTTGTCCTGCCCTTCCTTCAAGAAGTTCAGGGTGGGCTACATGGTTGCCCCTCCCAGTTTATCCTCACAACAAGCCTGTGAGGTAGATTACATTCATACCACCCATTTAAGACACATTATTTTAAAGCACATATAAGGCATGTGACTTCTACCAAAGAATCTCGGGAACTGTAATTTACTCCACATGGAGCTTAACTCCAAGTGCTCTTAACAAACTACAGTTCCAATGATTCTTTGGCAGAAGCCAGGTGATTTAAATGTATGATGCAGAACTGATGGTTGAGGGAGAGTGTGAATGTCCCAAGGTTACCCAGTGAGCTTCATGGGTTCCTCCTGGCCCTGTACTCTTCATAAGTCACTGCAGCATCCCCAAAGAGAAACATCATTCCTGCTCAGCTTCTCCATGCTGTGCTGCTATGAAATGCGCAGGAGGAGCACATATGCAGCCAAAACTAGACCCAATAATGGGGAGTGGATGGATTCGGACCTAAGAGTTTGCCTTATTTTGGGTCAGACCATTAGTCCATCTAGCACAGAAATACCTGTTTTGACAGGCAACTGCTCTCCAGGTGTTTGAGGGCTAACCTAGTTCTTAAAAACCACAAATATTTCCAGTCCTATGATTGTAATATGGTGTGTTTATTCTCTAGTGTATTCTTGTGCTAGGATATCTTTGTAATCTCCTCATCTGAATTGTAATCTGTAGAAGAGCAGGATATAGATAACAAATAACAATGAGCTATCTAATCATGTTGGCTGGAGATGCCCGGGCTTGAACTTGGTACCTTCTGTATGGAAAGCATGCATTCTGCCACTGAGCCATGAATGACCTCTCCTTAGGGCAGGAGAGATTAATGGAGGAGATAAAAAATGGTGTTGTCTCAAACTGCTAGGTTGTGCAACCATAGTGCCCCTGTGTTACTGAAATCACGGTGACTTTGGATTTTCGTGGGAGCAGGTAAACGCTCAGCAAATATTGTTCATAGCCACTAAAATCCGACCATCATTTTACATCTCCAGATAATGGTTGCTATAGAGTTTCCCGTTTTATTGTGTGTGTTTTTACGTTTTAAGCTCTTGTTGCTGTATCAATTGTCACAAAACAATGTGCAAGCCTTCAAGCTCTCCAGAATGCTCTACCAGGTGAAGGCAGTAAACAAAGTGGGGAGGAGGGGGAAGAAATCCACCTTGGCAAATAGGTACTGATAGATTTATCCTCCACAAATTTGGCTACTATTTAAAGCCCCTTTAAAGCTATCTAAGCCAGTGGCTTGCACCCCATTTTCTAGTAGTTGAATTCCATTAGTGAATTATGTGCTCTGTGAATAAGTTACTTCCATTCATCTGTTCCGAATCTGCAATATCAGAATAACCCTGTCTTAGAATAACAGAATGGTAGAGTTGGAAGGCACTCTGAAGATCATCAATCTGACCCCACTGCAATGCAGGAATCTCAGCTAGGTCATAGATGACAGATGGTCATCCAACCTCTGCTTAAAAATCTCCAAGGAGAGTCCACAACCTCTCATGGGAGTCTGTTCCACTATTCAACAGCTCTTACTGCCAGAAAGTTCTTTCTGATGTTCAGTTGGAATCTCCTTTATTGTAACTAGAATCCATTGGTTCAGCTCCTAACTTCCAGAGCAGGAGAAAACAAGCTTGCTCCATCTTCCATGGAGATATTTGAAGATGGCTATCAGATCTCCTCTCAGTTTCCTCTTTATCAGGCTAAACATACCCAACTCCCTCAACCTTTCCTTATAAATCTTGGTTTCTAGACCCTTGATCTTGGTTGCCCTTCACTGTACATGTTCCAATTTGTCAATATCCTTTTTAAATTGTGGTGCCCAGAACTGGACATAGTACTCCAGGTGTGGTCTGACCAAAGCAGAATAGAGTGCAATTGCTATATATTTGTCTTTTTCCGGAGAAGGGCATGATAAAAGGTGATGCATGGATTGATGGCTGTGGTCAATGGATAGGGCAGTCAGATTGGGCACTCTGTTAGGCACAAGTTGATGAAGATGGAAAATTAAGGAAACAAATTTGGGATGCATAACAAAGAAGCAATTTGCACCTGGAAACTCAACATCCTGGTGCAAGCACATTCTTGTTGAAGAATGCAAATTCATGCAGAAGGTAGTTTGGTGCCCGCAGGGAGGGAAGGGAAATTGCTGGATGTTTCTAATTACCTTTACTCATTTCCACAATGCAATAAAACCACTTGCATGCAGATATTTAACTTCTAGCAATTCAGATGTTGACTCTAAGCATAACCTTAATAAGCAGGGACAGAGTTCATTTTGTGACCAGGGAGACAGCAGCCTCCTCCTTTGGCTGTTTAGCCCTGGATGCTAATTAGTGTGCCATGAGGCCTGAGGATCCTTAACTTTACACCATGATAAACAGGAAGAAGAGTTACTGCTGGACTCAGTACGCTTGAATTTCTGCCAGTCTGAAAGACATCTTAGGGAATCAGCTTCAAGGTCACAATTAGACTAGATGGACAGAATAATTGCAGTGCCCACATTTGCAAAAAACTGTTGCCCTGTTACTGGCTCCAAGACAAACTTAGGAGCACCAACCCCCATTTCCAGCATGCAGCTGGGGGTCCGTTTTGGAGCCACTGAACCAAATCACAGCTCACCAGGCCTTCAGTAAATTTCCTATTTCCACTGCCTGCCTGAGACTGCAAATACAGGCAAGTGCAGTACTTTAGCTGCCAGGCTGTATTCAGCACGATGAGATGAAAGTTGTGCTGGAAACTGTAGGCAGCCTCTACAGGACTGCAAAGGTGATAGTGAAGGGTTCTTGCTTCTGTTCCTCTCTGCTTCTCCTTGTTGTCCTTGCTTCTACATCAAGTCCTTGCCAGTCACAGGAGCATTTCAACAGCAATAGCAGTAAGCATCGGGGGGCGGGGGATGGAAACATGGGGCAGCAGGGAGACAATGAACTTTCTGTTTGCTTTTTTTGGGTGCTATGCATAAATTTTTGGTACGATGGTAGTTTATTGTGTTTTCATTTAGTGGAATGTTTTCATGCACCTTTCTCGTACAAATGGGGACTTAAGGCAGCCAACAAGAAGTCGCTGGGACAAAATTAAAACAAAAGAAAAGCATCAAGAAACACAAACAACAACAACAAGGCACAAATGTTCAAATAAACAAACTGACAATTCCAGCAGCCTATCTGCCAATCCAAAACAGGTTTTTTCTTTCTTTCTAAAACTTGATAAAACAAAACTTCAGGTACTCAAAACTCTGGGAGAAAGGATGGCCTTTGCCTAGTGCCTTTGAGCCTACAAGAAAATGAAGAAGGTGTCGGGAGGGTCTCTTGCAGGAGGTTCCACAAATGGGGCGGAACCATAGAAAAGGACCTCTTTCACACCCAGGGAAGTATCTCTAATGATGCTCTCAGCAGTCAGGCACATCCATAGAGAAGCAGGCATACCTTCAGGTACCCCTGTGTCACAGCATTTA